TATCCTTTGTAATAAAATGCTATGTACTGGATGCATGGATGCACAGTTAATATTTATTTTAATGTACCTGGTTGAGATGACACTTCTCCTTTTCCGTTGGGGTACCCTGAACCTGCAAACCACATTTTTAGTTTTAGTCTGACTGCTGTCTTCATAAAAATGAAGGAGTCAAAGCTAAAAGACTAAACTTTAAAATTCTCTTATTTATATTTAATTGTGCCTTTTAAACATCAAGCTTTTGGTAAGCGTCCCATGAGTTTGGTCAGTTTTTAAAATAATTTATATGACAACAAACAAGTGGAAAAGAATTAGAGCTCACCAGGACTTGGAAGTTTGACCCATTGTCCATTAGGTCGTCCACCAGGTCCACAATCTAAAAAGTAATAATATATAAATTTCAACATTTAAATATTTTGTAATAAACCAAAACTTTGGTTTATTACTCACAAACAAGTTATAAATAAAACTAAAACTGACTTATAAATGGAAGATGCCCTAATATCACTAACAGAGTTGTTCAAATGTGAAGTGAAGACCCACTTGCATAATGTATTACAAGCATATTGTTTGTAAAAGGCTTACAAAATAAATTCTGTTTTTTTTTATTATTAAATCTCTCTACACTCTTAAAAATAAAGCTTTTTTATTTCCATCTGTGGTTCCACAAAGAACCTTTAAGATCTATGAAATGTTTCAAAGCAGATTTATTTATTTATTTTTAAAGAGTGCAGTCAAATCTTTAAAGATCTGTTGTTGCACTTTAGTGGTGGAAGGTAAATCAGCACATTGTACTAAATCAGTACTATAGAGGTTTACCAGGATTTGTTGTTGATGGATTCTTCATTTGAGGCAAAGCTGGGTTTGACTGAATCTTGGTTTGTTGCATCTCTGGAGTTATTTGAGGAACAGCTGCATTTGGCACCAGAGGCACCTGTGAAAAAATACTGCCTTGTGGCGAAATTGGCTTTGGTATCACTGGAGTGACGGTTTGTTCCTGTGACAGCACTTGTCCCTGCTCTAGTGCAGCTGTCTGTGATGTTTGAGGATAACTCGTCTGAGGAATGGGAGCTGATTCTGGTGCAGGAATTGCTTGAGGGATTGCTGGTGCAGCTGGCTTTGAAGCTTTGTTTTGTGGAATTACAGGTGTGGGTGGTTTATAAGCTTTACTAGGTTTATAAAATCCTGGACCTTGCATAAATGGCTTTGGAGCAGGCTGAGGTCCCATAGAGTTGGGGTCTTTGCCCTGTTGAAGTGGTGCATTAAGATTTTGTCCTTTCGTTTGTTGCAGGACTGGTGGAAGATCTTTAGTTTGTTCTGGAAGCAATCCTGTATTTGGCACACGCTCAGCTAGTGGTAAAACACCCTTGGTGTTAGATGTTAGTGGGAGATGACTTGATGCTTCAGGGCTTAAAATCTCCCCTTTAGGTCCTTTTCCACTGGGAACACCCTCTTTCCCAGCTGTTACAGGCATATATCCTAGAAGCCAAAGCAGTTTTACTACACACTTACACAACCCAATATGGCAAATTCACATGCAGAGACATACATGTATGACAGGTTATAAAACTACAATTATCCGTGTCATGTGGTAGTAGTAGATAAAATTACTTAAAGTACTCTCAATAATAATGATTTACCTGAATTAGCTGCTTTATAAGGTCCTTCTGACATATGTCCAGGAACACCGTAACCTATAGATCATAAGAGTGTAGATATGACTGAAGGTTTTACTTTAGATGATGTAGAGTTTATTTAAAACTGGACCTAATGCAGCTATCCAAAAACGAACTGTAAAATTCTGCACACACTGGAAAAAAGGCAAAACATTAAAAATCACAACGGACACAAGAGGTGCCTACAGACCTGCTTTACTGCTAATAAGCAACTCCTCCACCAGTAACATTGTTTATTAATCTAAATGGGGCTACACTACAATTGGAGTTAGGGCTGCACGATAAATCGAAATGGAGTCGAGATCGCGATTCGACAGAAGCTGCGATTGTCATGCGTATCTTTCAGTGAAGCACGGTTCTGTGATCAGCAGTAAATCTTCACCCAAAGGCCAGAGGGCGCTCTCGTGCTGAAACGCCAAATATGCCTCGCAGAAGAAACGCTTATCGCTGCAGCTGAATAAATAGACGATTCAACTGCTTTCATTGATTCAATGTGACTAATAAACACACGACTACGGCAATATACGGTTTATCTGAGTTCTTATTATTATAATTTTCATTAAAATAAAGTATATTTATAATGCAATGCCTTTATCACTGCTTAAATACTATGAAATATGTTGCGTGCCTTATTCTGTGTAAGAAGCCACATCATCTCACAGAAGGATTGTGACATTATTATTATTATAAGGATTATTTCAAACACTCGACTGACGTTATGAAGTGAGTTTGGAGTAAAAATATGTTATTAAATGTGGTATTTTCACATGCTTTCAGATGGAGCAGCATTTACTACACACAGTCGTAGTTCACTGAGAAGCTATGCAAACAGCTGTCATTATCGCGAATGATTTCTTCAGTTTCATAATCGCGCAATAAAATCATCTGCGATTTTTTTGCGTAACTTGTCAGTGAACTACGGCTATGTGTAGTAAATTCTGCTCCGTCTGAAAGCTCGTGATGATGATTTCCTGCTGATTACAGAATCGGCTTTACTAACAAAATTCGCATGACAATCGCATTCGATTAATCGTGCAACCCTAATTGAAATATTAAAAAAAATCAATTAACATGCAATCAACGGTGTGTATATTGTACATTTTATAGTACACTTTGAAAATAGCTTATTCAAACTGTTTTTAGAGTCAATATGTGACCCTGGACCACAAAACCAGTCATAAGGGTCAATTTTTTGAAACTGAGATTTATACATCATCTGAAAGATAAATACGAGTAACTAAGCTTTCCATTGATGTATGGTTTATAAGGATAGGACAAGATTTGCCTGAGATACAACCATTTGAAAATCTGGAATCTGAGGGTGCAAAAAAATCTAAATATTGAGAAAATCGCCTTTAAAGTTGTCCAAATTAAGTTCTTAGCAATGCATATTGCTAATCAAATATACAATTTTGATATATTTATGGTAGGAAATTTATAAAATATCTTCATGGAACATGATCTTTTTCTTAATATCCTAATGATTTGTGCCATAAAAGAATAATCGATCATTTTGATCCAAACAGTGTATTGTTGGCTAATGCTTCAAATATACCCATGCTACTTATGACTGTTTTTGTTGTCCAAGGACACATATATGTTTTATAATAGTAATAGTCACATGCTATATACCAGGCTTGGCTCCTTGTCCAATTGAGGGTCCGGCTTTAGCACCATATCCTAAAGCAGAGCCAACATACATTCAAATTATATGAAAAATAAGACAAAGGAAAAAGAAATACACACCATATGCATAAATACACAACGTTTACCTGGTTTAGGTCCCTTGGTTCCACCATTGGGATAACCCATATTTTGAAGAAAAGAGCCTAATTAGAGAGAAATACTTCAGACAAGTGTAATATCCACAGTTCTTTTCAGAATTCAGTAGTATCCACAATGTAATAATTACACTTTACTGTAGAATCTAATTAACTTAACAAAAAAAAAATTGATGACATCCAATATATTACCTGTATTAGGTTGCCTAGCTGCTCCTCCATTAGCATATCCTCCATATCCTGAACAAAACCCCAAATCAGTTTAGAGGTGATTCGGTTACTTAAATTTACAATAAAGATGTTTAGTGCTTTACTCCTAATAAACAACTCCACCAATTATAACGATTATTAATCTAAATGGGGCTACACTACAGTTGGTGTATCAATATAGAATTAAATTAATGTGCAATCAAAGGTGTGCATATAAATTTCACAGTGGCTTGGCCTATCAAACTATATTTCAGAACCTCAAGCTGTATATTTGATATTTACATATTTTATAAGAGTAATCACATGATATTTGCTATTAAGCTTGGCTCCTTGTCCATTTGAAAGTCCAGCGTTAGCACTGTATTCAGTGAAGAAGACCCAACACACAGGATTCAAATGATATGGAAAAATAAGACAAAGAAAAAAATAATACCACATGCATTAGCATTACACAGAAAAAAAGTTTACCTGGTTTAGGCCCCTTGGTTCCACCATTGGGATACCCCATATTTTGAAAAAAGCCTAATTAGAGAAACATACTTCAGACCAGTGTAATATCCTGAGGTACTTTCAGAATTAACCACAATGTAATAATTACACTGTAGAAACAAATTTATAAAAGCTGGATAAAAAGCTGGTGACATCAAATGTACTACCTGTGTTAGGTTGCCTAGCTGCTCCTCCATTAGCATATCCTACATATCCTGAACAAAATCAATACCAAATCAGTTCAGAGGTGCTCTTTCACAGTACAGACTTTCAGTGTTTTACTCCTAATGAACAATTCCTCCATCAATAATATAGATTATTAATTTAAATGGGGCTACACTACAGATGGTGTATTAATATAGAATTCAATTAAGGTGCAATCAAAGGTGTGCATCTATCATATATTTTACAGTGGCTTTAACATGGCCTATCAAACTATATTTTAGAGCCCTAAACTATGTTTTATAATCATGCTATTTAGCATTAGGCTTGGCTCCTTGCCCTTTTGGAAGTCCAGCTTTAACACCATATTCATTGAAGAAGACTGAACTGGATTCAAATGATATGGAAAAATTAGACAAAGGAAAAAGTAATACCGTATGCGTAACAGAAAAAATGTTTACCTGGTTTAGGTCCTTTGGCTCCACCATTGGGATACCCCATATTTTGAAGAGAAGAGCCTAATTAGAGAAAAAAATACTTTAGACCAGTGTAATATCCTAGTTCTTTTCACAAAGTTGGTTACATCCAATATATTACCTGTATTAGGTTGCTTAGCTGCACCTCCGTTAGCATAACCTCCATATCCTGAACAAAATCAATCCCAAATTAGCCCAGAGGTACTCCAGTTACTTCAGTTTACAATACAGACCCAAAACAGACCCTGCTTTACCCCATCAAAGAACTTGTCCACCCATAATGTACATTATTAATATAAATAGTGCTACACTACAATTGGTGTATTAACACAGAATTCAATAAATGTGCAAAGATGTGTGTATGGTATATCCTAGCCTATATTTTACAGTCAACTTTTACGTGGCATATCAAATCTTATTTTAAAGCCAAAAACTATATGTTTTCTAAAAGTAATGATCACATGCTATTTACCATTAGGCTTGGCTCCTTGTCCATTTGAGGGTCCAGCTTTAGCACCATATCCTTTAAATCAGACCCAACAGATACGATTTAAATTATATGGAAGAATAAGACAAATGAAAACACACCATGCATTCCACACACACACACACACACACACACACACGTGCGCACACACACACTTGTATATGTGGTTTATGGGGGCTTTCCATAGGTTTAATGTTTTTTTTATACTGTAAAAACGATATAATCAATGCCCTAACCCCACGCCTAAACATAACCCCGACAGAAAACTTCTGACATTTTTTTTAAAGCCATTTGGTTTATGAGTACACAAAAAGTTGTAATACCCAAGTCATTACACACATTTGTGTTCTCATAAACCATGTACACACACACACACACACACACACACACACACACACACACACAATTTACCTGGATTAGGGCCCTGGGTTCCACCATTGGGATACCCCATATTTTGAAGTGAAGAGCCTAATGAGAGAAAAAATACTTTTGACTATCCTCACTTCTTTTCAGAATTCAGTACTTCCAATATTGTAATAATTACACTGTAGAATCAAATATATACAAAATTCCTGGTGACATCCAATATATTCAGGTAGTATTAGGTGGCTTAGCTGCACCTCCATTAGGATATGCTCCATATTCTGAACAAAACCAATCCCAAATCAGTTTAGAGTTGATCCAGTTACTTCAGTTTAAAATATAGGAACTTTAGTTCTTCACCCTTACTAAACAACTCCTCCACTAATAATACAGATTATCAAACTGGGGCTACACTACATTTGGCGTATTAATGCAGAATTAAATTAATGTGCAATCGAAGATGTGTTTATATCATGTAGTTATATCATGTGGCTTTGAATGCAGCATATTAAACCTGATGTTCGAGCCAAAAATTATGTTTTATAATAGTAATAATCACATGCTATTTACCATTAGGCTTGGCCTCTTGTCCATTTGAGGGTCCAGCTTTAGCACCATATCCTTTTGAAGAAGAGCCAATACAAATAAGATTCAAATGACATGAACAAATTAGACAACGGAAAAAGAAATACACATCCATTACACACACACACACACACAGTTTACCTGGTTTTAATGAGGAAAAAAAATTAACAAATGATTTTAGCAAATGGCTGCAATATAACAAAGAGTGAAAAATTGAAGGGGGTCTGAATACTTTCCGTACCCACTGTATGTTTTATGTTATACTAAAAAACTGTTTTATAGTAATGTTTTATAATAGTAATAATTACATGCTATTTACCATTAGGCATGGCTCTTTGTCCATTTGAGTATCCAGCTTTAGCACCATATGCTGTAATACAAACCCAACACATAAGATTCAAAATCAGACAAAGGAAAAAGAAATACACAACATACAAATTACACAAAAAGTTTACCTGGTTTAGGTCCCTTGGATCCACCATTGGGATACCCCATATTTTGAAGAAAAGAACCTAATTTAAAAACAAAAGAAAAAATAGTTTAAACCAGTGTAATACCCTCATTTTATTTCAGAGTTTAGTATTATCCACACTGTAATAATT